TTAGTTCTCTCAGCCTCAATGAAGAGGACTTTTACTGGTGGCTTGATTTAGGAGAATTAAGCAAAATATCAATCAAATAAAGAACAACTGAAGCATTTCATTAGAATGAAAAACTTACAATGATTCAAACTCAGCCTCGTAGAGGTTTACAGCGACAATCTACTTGAAACTACTCCTATGAATGAAGTGCAGTGCAGGAATTTAAAGTATTGGAATGTAAAGAACAGGAAATGTAAAACTAAGTAAAGTAGAATAAGACTGGTTTTTTGGATCTGAGTCTGGGGGGTTTTTCTAGGGCCTTCTCTGCTATTTATACTGTTTGAGGATGACCATCGAACTGTATTTCCAACCGTCGAACTGCTCTTCCATGATCGCTGATCATGTTGCCTCTAGATTAGCTCCATTACGCCATCACTTGCAGTTAGGCTTCCCTCATAAATTTGAATTTAAATGTGAGTAACCATTGATGCCACATCACCTTGTATCTCTCTGTTGATCCACTGCTACTCAGATCTCGTAACAACCAATACTAACTGTCACGTGTACGATTAGGATCGAAGATTTGAATAGTCTTCCTGTACTACCCTTACTTTGCCACGCATCGAATTGTAACTGGCTTGTACAAAATATGTAGCCAACAGGTATTATGTATAAAACAACCTTCATAATCTAAAATCGTGAACTATCATGATTTTCACAAATAATAGCATAATACGGAAAATAAATAACATATCCAGATCAGTTATGCGAAACCTTCAAGTGATCCAAAATTGATTGAACATAAACCTAATAATAATATTAGTGAAAAATGTTTCTGTCTCTTGACCCTCTTTAGAATACGTTATATTCAGAATAATTGATGGGTGATCTAAATATACTTTTATAGGTAGAGAGATGACTAATTTCTAATAAAACTATAACTCCACTTACCCATCAAAGTAGGAGATTTGAAAACTACTTCATTTATTCACCAATCAGATAATAACTTGTGATTCAAGATATAAAATTATAATTTTATTAAATTTATAATTCATATTGTGGTACCTTATGAGTTACCATAATAACTAAATAATTAAATGTTAGTCTCTCACACATGCTACTGCTTTCAAATAAATTTCCAAACCAGCAATGCTACATCCCACTAAAAGTGGTGCTTTAAAGCACTACTAATAAGTTGGCACCCACTTTTTTTTTTTTAAAAAAAAGAAAAAAAAAAAAAAAAAAAAACACAAAAACATTGTGGCAGTGGATTAATACTCTCACTCATTTTCCTTTCCAAACCATACATGGTTTGTAGATGTTTTACTCTTTTTTAAAAGCAATATTTATACGTCCATAAAGTCAGTCTATTCCCTAGGTGCTTGGATTTGAAAATTATCAACGAAATTTGTGGGGATATTATAAATTTTTTTATTAAAAAATAACAAAATTACAGTGAGTACAAAGTGAATTTTATTTTTATGGAAAAAGTACAATTTTCACACTGTTTGGTTTTAAAGTTTTCAAAAATAGTCTTTAGATTTGTAGATTTTTTATGTTTGTTAGATATTTTTTGTATTTATTGATTTTTTTTAAATTCAAAAATATTTTACCTTTTGAAATATTAAAATGTTTAAAATATTAAAAAAATGAGGGATTTAGTGGAAAATCTATTTTGATAGACTTGTACTCTATTTGGTCCATAACATATTCTTCTATCGAGTAATGCTACGTAGCTCGAAATCAACCCCCCCGAATCCCCCTAATTTAAACGACGTCGTTTGTCTATTTGTTTTTTTTTTTTTTGGGTTGAATCAGAAACGAAGAAGAAGAAGGGAGAAGAAGAAGAAGAAGAAGAAGAAGAGAAAGGAGAAGAAGAAGAAGGGACGGGAGAAAGGAGAACTGGACAGGGAGGGCATAAACCAAGGGCGGAGGCGCGGCGGAGACGAGGCGGAGGTCGAGCTGCTGCGATGATCGGCGATCGGCCGACGATCGGCCGAGCTTCTCTCCCTCTCTCTCTGTTTCCCTCTCTCCTCTCCTCTCTCTTTCTCCCTCTCTCTCTCTCGCCTTCACCCTCTTTTCCCCCTCTTTTCCCTCTATTTCCATTTTCGGGGAATTCGAGGGGGAGCTCATTCGAGCTCCCAAGCTTTATCCTCTTCTATCCTAATTGATCCCATAAATTTGACCTTATATTCAAATAGATCATTTTTCCTACATTAGAGGTATTATGTGAACTATTTTACCCTCATAGATTTGGAAAATGTTTGGGACCCTCTTTTGGGAGACCCCCACCACCCCTACAGTGATGTGGATTAATGATATGTTTGTATTTTTTTTTTCTTTCTCTTTCTTACTTGGACCAATCACAAGTGTGTGAGAGTTGTAGAGGTGATGTTTTGTAGGAGTCTGAATCATTACTGTATAGATTTTTATTATTGTTCTTGACCCAAGGGTGGCCATTGGCCCAGTGGCCCGCCTAACCCATCCAGTCTAACCTAATATTAAGATTTGAAAAAATAATTATTTTGCCCATAAGACCAAATTGGACTGCAATTTTGTACCCATTTAATATTCGAGGTGGAGTTAAGATAAAGAGTTCTAGTGCAGCTCTGTCCGCCACCCCATTTATAAAACATTAATTATAATTTTATATATATTAGTTATAAAATAAAGTAAAAAAGAAAAAAAATTATTTCTTTCTATGTTTCAAATTACATATTTATTAAAAATCATATTTATTTCAAATTTGTTAATGTTCCAAATTTAAATAATAAATAAAAAGATTTAAATAATTTAATATTCATTCAAAATGAAAAAAAAAATAATAGTTCACATTTATTGAGTTAAGTAGGCGGACTTGAGATTTAATTTATTTATTTTTAGAGTCAGACTTGGAATGTTTAGATTATGTCCGATGTCCAATCGGACTGAGTTTGAGATGACATATATCCTCTTATTATATACTGCAAGTTCGGCTCGAGATTTGTCCATCCCTCTCTTGACCAGAAATTCAAATTTACCTTATACAACCAAAATTTATCAATATCCATTTTAAATTCCTGCCCCAATTAAAATCTATTAATACCGTCACGTGCGTTCCCACCATAACCAAAATTATCTTTTTTCAATCTCAAATTTTAATTTTTTCACAAATTCAAATATTTTCAATAAAATTTTAGAAAATAAAGAGAAAATAGAGATTAGAGATATATGCAAAAAAAAAAAAAAAAAAAAAAAAAAAAAAAATGAAGGAACTTGATGACCACCCCCACCTTGATTTTTTAATAAATTTTCAAAAGTTTTCATTATTGTTCAATTTCAAAATTCAAAAAACAAAATTTGAATCTCTGAGAGTATCTCTAACGGCTACTCAAATTTTTCATCAAATTTGAGTAAAAAATGGCTCATTTTCCCAATTTGATATCAGCTGTTCCAACGGTGAACTTTCATCAAATCTGTGCTGGGACAACCGGTTGATCGACCGGTAAGGGCAAAAAAATTTTTTTTTTTGTGAACTGTTTGAACCTTTTAGTGGTCGACCGGTTGGTCGACCGGTAAGGCAAATTTTTTTTTTTAATTGTTTGAACCTATAAATTTTGAACTGTTTGAATTTTTTAGTGGTCGACCGGTTGGTCTCCCCCAACGGTAACAAACAGTGATTTGCTGAAATCAGTATTCTGTCCTCACTTTGATGAATTGTTTGGTGAATTTTCAATTTGATATCGATTTAGTGCAACCGTTGGAGCACCAAATAGTAACTTTTTCACCAAAATTTAAATATGATGTCAGGTTTGGTGAAGCATTGGAGATGGTCTCATCGGTTTTTATGCTAATTGTCAAAATTTAAAAATGAGATTTTATCTCCTAGGAGTGAGACTAGACTTATGACTTAAAAATGAGATTTTCTGAGTTCATTTGAGAACTTGACTATTTTAGTTAGCTAAAAAAATTGTGTTTGGAAATCATAATTGATTAAATGATTATGATCTGAATGTGATATTTTATCTTATTAACTATTTAAGTTTATTTTATTTTTATTAGCTATTTTAACTTAGATCTGACTTCGCAAACATGTATTGATTTAAGATGGGAAATACTATGGTGCACAAGGTATACATCATATGCACTTTATAACTTTAAAAAAAAAATGACATAATTTTAATTTTCTAAATGATAATTAGAAATATATATATATATATATATAAAAGAGGGTATGTAATACACCCTTTTTTAAAAAGGGGAAATTATTGGAAACTCCCATTTTGGAGAGTTGTAGTCTACCAAGTCCCATTTTAAAATTAATAGACGTCCAAGTCCTATTTTTTGTGGTTGAAACGTGTGGGTCATAAATTATGTGGACACCTCTACATACACTATTAAACCCAAAAAAAGCTATAGTAAGCTTTTCTCAAACGTTACATACACTCACATTATAAAAAAGTTACAATAAGCTTTTCCCAAACGTTACATACATCCACATCATAAATGGGTTTTTCCCAAACGTTACATACACCCACATCATAAATATGCTTTTCCCAAACGTTACATATACCCACATCATAAAAAGCTATAGTAAGCTTTTTCCAAAAGTTACATACACCCACATCATTCAAGCATAATATCACCAAATCCAAAACAGTAAATTCATGAGCAAAACTGTCCACCCCCAAATAATGAGACCTCTGGGTGTACAAAACTTAGGGGTTGTTTGGGGTGTCCTAAATAAGTGCACTTTTTGTCTTTTTGGACTAAAAAATTGAGGTTGAAAATATGGATGTTTGGGTTAACTTTTTGACTTTTTATTGAAAAATGTGTAATAAAAAATTGTAAAAATTGATTTTTAGGGAAAAATTTGAATTGGGAGTTGTGCAGCCGTAATTGTTGATTTTTGGTAAATAGTGTTAACTTTTTAACTTTTTGAATAACTTTTTGACTTTTTAACTTTTTTGCAAGTACCCAAACTTAGCCTAAATATGAAACTGATTAGATTACAATCCCACCTTTTATGGGTCAATTCTCCTTTTAAAAATGTGTGTACTAGAATTTCCATAAGATTTTCTGATAAGATAATAAAGGTTCACCATTCACCTAAACTTTTCATTAATCTTCTCAAATCAAATGAAAAAAGCCCGCCAAAAATTCAAAAACAATTGAATAAAATGGGTGTAGAATTTCCCATTTGGTTCATATCTCTCTCGATGGAAGCAGCCTGTGCCTAATTCCTCTCTATCAGCATCCACTACCATTATCCAAAAAACCTTCAATTGAACCCATCGCCGCCACGGTTGAGATCAGCACCGCCGTCGACTGCCACTGCACGACAACGCTGCCATCTCTCTTTCCACCATTCAGGTATTTTTGTTCAGTACCTGTTTGTTGAAATGCCTAACTGAACCAAACTGGTTTGAGCAATGAAAACATATGCTCTTTGTATTTAAAGGGAACACAACATTGTCAAACTGCTAACCCATATCGGTCTCAAACAATGACGATACCAATGAGGTTCCTATCAAAGATGGGTATTTATAAGTTCCAAATGCAACTAGTTTCCATTATTGTAAGGCTAGTAGATTGTGATGCTTTAGTTGCCACAGGCCTTTCAGAGTTAAGGTCTGTGATTGGAACCACTAGTGCTGTTGGACTGACCCTCAAGTACAATCCCAATTACAATGAACCCGCAATGTTGCAATTTTGTGTCAGAAATCATTGCCTCGTGCTTCAATTGTATCACTTGGATTCAATTCCACAGTGTGCTTAAAGGATTTTCTTGGTGACCCAGAAATTTGTTTTGTGGGTAATGGTGGTTTGAGAAGTGGACTTTCTGATCTGATTCTCATTATGAAATAGAATGCAAGAGCGGTATTGAAGCGAGTGAGTTGGCTGCTAAGATTCTTAAGAAGCCTAATCTTTTAGGGGTTGGGTTAGCAAGATTAGATGATGAGGTTGGAATTCCTTGCGTGGAATCGCCGAGTTTGGGTAGTTTTGATTGGGGTGCTAAGGTTTTCTCCGATGAACAAATCAAGTATGCTATTCAAGATGTTTATGCATGTTCTCTGATTGGAAGCACGCTGTTGGGAATGCTTTAAATTTCATCTTCTTCAGGTTTGTTTTTGTCTGGGTTGTGTCTTTTGTTGGTCACTTTTGATGTTTTTTTATGCTTAGGTTCAATTGTTATTTTATATTACATGCTTATGTGTCTCTTTGGAATTAGGTGGGTGGTATGTTTTGAAACTCCTAAAGCTGATTGTGCTATTGCACTTATGCTGTGTTACATATAAGACAATAGTCATGATAGATGTCTCTTTTTGGTATGAATGAAACATGTTTATCATGATTATGTGCTCGATTGTTTGTTTATACAACATATATATTAATTGATATTTAGACATGTTAATTATAGTATGCTACGCTGTTGTTATGTGCTTCATAGTTTTTGGAAGAAATACCAAACTAATTACATTGATGGTTCCAAATGTATACCATTTGGGGTGTTTCGATTCTTCACCATATTCTAAGTGCGCAGACATTTGATTTGCGAACCATTAGTGTCATTGGTTTGTTTGTTTTTTTTGTAAAAAATATTCTTGTTTCTTTTGGAACAACATTTAGCAAAGTAACCACTTTAAACATAGATTTCATATTTCAGGGCAACATAATTGCAAATGAGAAACCAAAATGCTTCAGATTAGTTTGCATATTATGCTCTGATTTTGGTTATAAATTAAAGTGGTGTTGCTTATAATTTGAAGTTCTGGTAAAATGAAAGCAAGCTCTGTCTTGATTATGAGGTTGGGTGGTATTTGATTAAAAGGCAAAATGGTATTTGTTAGACCATCTCCAACGCTTCAGCAAACCTGATATCAAATTCAAAATTTGATGAAAAAGTCACTTTTTTGAGCTCCAACGGTTTCACCAAATCGATATCAAATCCAGAATTCAGCAAATCTTGTACCAAAATGAGAACAGGCGAAGCATTTTACCAAATCACTGTTCCTAATCGTTGGGAGAGACCAACCGGTCAACCAGCCGGTTGCCCGGCCGGTTGACCAACCGGTTGACCGCCTAAAGGTTCAAACGGTTCGAAGAAAAAGGTTCAAACAGTAAAAAAAAAAAAAAAAATTTTTTTTGCCTAACCGGTCGACCAGCCGGTTGACCAGCCGGTCGACCACTAAAAGGTTCAAAAAGTTCAAAAAAAAAAAAAAAATTCGCTTAACCGGTTGACCAACCGGTTGCCCCTGGTACAAATTTGATGAAAGTACACCGTTGGAGCGAGTGGTATCAAATTGGTAAAATGAGTCATTTTTTACTCAAATTTGGTGAAAAATCTGAGTAACCGTTGGAGATGCTCTTATGAAATACAATGGTTGTTTTGGTTATGATAAAATTATTCAATAATCTCTCAAGGCACCACCGTGGCATGTATACGTGATACTCTGACTAATATGAAGTGGTACAATCTTTTGTACGAAGGAAATCACAGTGAAATCAGGCATAATTTTTTGTAGTCGAACCGTAAGGTGTCATTAATTTCAAAGCTCACCTATGCGTAGGTTAGTTTCTACATATATTAATACTTTGGTAGAAAACAGGCTTTGCAATGATGAAATAGTATGCTCAATTATGCATTATTATGTACAATTATGAAGAGTTCATAAAATAGTTCACAGCTCTTGTGGATCAATGTGCGTGTGTGCATGTGTGTTTGTGTGCGTTCATTACCTGAATATTTTTCAGAGCTCAAACTGGTTGATTTTTGCCCAAAGAACTGGAATAATGTAGTGCATGATCAAACTGAGCAAACTAAGAGAATAAGTTTAAAGTTGAATCAATTGTGTAGGAGTGAATGACAAAACAAACAAGAAGTGCAATGCCAGGTAAATCCAAGCTCGGAGGTGTATCATGTATGGGGATACCACACGAAGTGAGATCATTATCCAACCTATATTTTGTTTGAAATATAATAAATATTAATAAATAAAAAAGAAAGTAACAGCAGGCTAATCAACATGGGGCACCACAGATGTCCCAACCTGTTAGGAAAGTGAACAAAATGATCAAATACGGAATATCCATAATCTGACTTTAATTTACTAAACTTTACTTGTGTGTATTTCAATATCAGCTTTCTCTGCACAGAAAATCTTTTTAAAAAAAATGTTCAAATTAGTTCTTAATATTAAGAAAAATCCACGTAAAAAATACAAACGACATTGATAAGGAAATTTAACAAAAATTGATTTACGGTTAATAACTAAAACTTGGTATATTTGTTGCCTAGTTTGTAATGAAAATTTCAAATATTTAACTTAAGTTTAGAAGTTCCATACAATTGACAACCTTACCAAAGATCTCCTATCACATCTTTTATTATGAAGACAATGTCTTCCCAATTAGACGGTATAATTATATAAACTATTTTATAATATGTGAAAATTGATTTGTTTCATTTTTTTTTCATATATATAATTGTTTATTATTTTTTAATAAATTTTATTAAATAGTTTTTATTCGATTCATAATTTCTTGATTTCACAATAAAATAGTGTTATTTATATCATGTGGTAATATCACATTGATGAGAAATTATTTTGCAGCAATAGAGACTACATGACTGGATTAGTGAGAGGAAATATATATATATATATATATACTATCTACTATTATTATAAAAGTGTGAAAAGCCTGTTATGTTTTTTACTTTTTTTAAATTCTAATTTTATTCTCTCAAATCTATTAAATTTTTTAAAAATTATGAAAAGTCTTATATAAATATCAACTATCTCTTTATTTTTGTAATTGAACACTCAAAAACGATATATTTCTTTCTAAGAGTCTTACATAAATATAAATAAATGGTTTCCCTTCTTATCAGGAAAAAAAAATGAAGAAGTCGTTTTCCTATATTTTACATTGATGATGACTGAAAAATAAAAAAAATTACTTTCTTTATTTCATGTATCTACTTCTATATTGATATATATAATATTTATAATTGTCCATCATGGATCAAATTGTTATGAATAATTTTGGTTAAATCTTAAAGTTGTATACATTCGTTTGAATTTAAACAGAAGAAAGCACATACACTTTTAAAATAGAGTTTTGTGTTGTATTTTAAAAATTCACAGGTTATTTTCATACACTTACTTTTTGTTCAAATTATATTTTATGAATTGTAATAATTTACATTGTTAGAATTTACCATTCACACTCACCTACTACACTCCACTACTCACACTCACCTACTACACTCCACTACTCCTCACCTACTACCCAAACCCTCTCCTATATAATGCCACTCTGATTTGTAATACAAAATATCAATCTTGTAACAATCAATATCAATCAATCAATATTACATCATTTTTAACATGGTATCAGAGCTATAAGATTTAGGCCTATATTCCTTTCTTTCCGGCGGGCAGCCGTCCGGCAACCATGCCTTCGCTGCCCGCTGGAGTTTTTCAACACACCTTTTTTCAACAATGTTCTTTGCCTGCCTTTGATTCTCTCAAATACCCACCAATCTCCTCACAACCACAACCCATTTGTTAATTTCAGTCTTCAATGGCTGATTCATCTTCAACTCCTCTTTCATTCATTTGACTTCAATCCAGCAGGTTCTGCATGCCCTAGAGCAATTGTTGCCTCTTGGTCACTCAGACAACTGTATTATTATTATTATTATTATTATTATTATTATTATTATTATTATTATTATTATTATTATTATTATTATTATTATTATTATTATTATTATTATTATTATTATTATTATTTAAATAAAAAATAATATGCAATAAATTATTTTCTAAGTGTATTTAGATTAAGTAAATCTTATCAACTTATGTTCAATATATATACATATATATAATACAAATAAGTAAATGTCCACAACAAACACTTAATAAATCAAGACTTTACAAAACACTTTCATCACAACAATAATTGTATTTTTTTTCCCTCATAGAAAAAAATCACATTATTGAGGGAAAATAAATTTTAAAATTCAAAACTATAGCGATCCCGGTATTCCCTGTTGTTGTTGAACTGTAATCCGGACTTGGCTCCGTAGATTTGTTGTTGTCGTATCCTTTTTTCTATCCCTTGCTCTTTATCTTAGAGTTTTGGGTTGTGTGGGACTCGTTGGAAATAAGTTGGTTGTGTTTTAAAGCTTTGAATTTTTGCCCAGGCTTTGGTCTCTCCGCTCGAGCGGTGATTTGACGCTCGAGCGGGTTTTTTTGTTGCCTCTTCGCTCGAGCGGCAGTTTGGACGCTCGAGCGTGAATTTCCTTCTCTCAGCATTTTGGACGTCTGCAGAAAATTCTAGGAGAGTGCATCCGGCGCTCGAGCGGATCTTTGGACGCTCGAGCGTGAACCTGTGTCTGACGCTCGAGCGAGGTGTTGTACGCTTGAGCGGAGCTGTTTTTATATCAGTCCGTGAAATCACTTTTTTTATCACTTTTTGATTTCCTTTCTCTCTCTTACTTTTTCAAAACCTCCATTGGAGAGCACCTTGGGCCTTTGTAAGAAGTGTGTTGATCGTCGAGGGCTTCGTTTTGATCCGGAAATTTTGAGATTTGGAGCAACTTCGAGATTCTCCATCTTCTCCATTTGAGCTCCGAACTTGAGGTAGGGATTTTTTTGTTCTTTTTCAATACTTCGTCTATAGATAGACATGTGGTAATTTTGTATTGCATGAAAATCATATCCATGTTGGATTTGTTTGAAATCATGAGAAGGAACCTAGGGTTGGGTGTTTGAAAAATGGTTATGTTATCATTGATGGTTGTTTTGGGCTAATTGGAGTGTAAATTAGCATGTTGTAGTTGATAGAGGAAAAGGCCCTAAATCATATTTTGATTAATAAATTAAAATGGAGGATAGTGAACCTATATTGAAAATCTCTAGTGTTGATGTGGGTTGGGTGAAGGCATTAATGCCTAAGGGATTAACTTTGGCTTTGAACGGTTTGAAATGAATGTAGTGAACTAATGTGAGTTATGACTTTATTATCAATGGTGGTGGTTTTGTAAAACAAAAGGGGTGAATTTGGTTTGGTAACAACAAAAGGAACGGAGTTGGTTTTGTGAAAACAAAAGGAAAATGGAACTTGATTTGTGAAATGGGAAAAGTATTTTGAAATACGTATGAAAATTGGATTGTTGTTTCTTGAGTGTTGAACACACACATGTGTGGGATTGTATCTTAAACTACCATGTTAATATTGTTGTCGGGTTTGTGGTCTCATAGTAATTGAGTCTTTAATAGATGTACTAAATATTTGCATCTAGAGGTTTTGTCCTTGGTCATCGGTGGAGAATGACACGGTTGAGTTGAATTGTCGGGTATGCATTTTACCATTGATTAATTGAACATCGTATGTGATGAAGTGCTAGATACATTATATATATGTATATTTGCTCGGAAGGAGATAGTCATGTGTTCATATACTTTAACACATTGCTGGTGTCTTGATAGTTTATGTATATGCATTATATATGTTAGTCATGCCTTGATGTGCTGTGATTGTTGGTGTTATACCCCGCGCTTAAAATCAAAGGTACCGTTACCTTCCAGCTAGCGCCTGGAGAACTGACCGCGCTAATAATCGGAGGCACCATACCCTTCCAGCTAGCGCCTGGTAAACTGGTTTGTTGTTAATGTTGTTGAGTGGGGTGTATTGTTGGCTTACTACGCACATAGCTAGTAGAGCGAAGTTGGATTGTTGTTGTTTCGTTGTAACTAAAAATATCATGGATTTGATTGGTTACAGTTCGGAGGACCGAGTTACTGCACTGGTTGGTTGTATACATGTTGGTGGGTTGTAAATTTATATTTTTTTACAAAGTTTTGCATGTATAGTTATGATGGTAATGGAAACGAACCAAAATGTCATTTTTGTCTTTTGGAAAGTGTGGAGGAGGACGAATGTTTTAAAGATAAACATGTTTGAAAAGGTACATCTGAGTATGTATAGAAAATGGAAGAGAGTATCGGGCTTAGTGAGATTACTTCCTAAATATTTGTTAATGTTATGAAAGATTGGGAATGGGGGTTAATGAAAGGAAAAAGGAAAGACAAACCACTTGTAGCGTTGAATGAAACGGTTATTTTCGAGAAAAGTTCATATGTATATTTTGTGTAAACTTTCACATTACTATTCTAGTATGAGATTGAGCATTCATGATCATAGCTATCTGCATGTTGTTATTGTTGAGGATCATGTTGAGATCCCTATTGGACTATATGTTCATCCCACGTTGTTGAATCTTTTTCAGGTATTAAGCAGGTTGAGTTGTAAGATTTGGATCTACTTAATTACTGGCCACGGGGCCTCAGTTATGTTGGCGGAATGCCATTGTTGTGTAAGGGTTACACCCTTCTTCTTGTACCTTAAGTGATGTAAGCCCAAGGGCAATTTATTAAGTATGTTCATGTAATACTTACTTTGCATACGAATGAGAGTATTGTTAATCACTTCTACGGATTGAATGTATGAGTTTATTTCCGCATGTTATCCTTGAAATTGAATTAAGTTAATGAATTTGGTGATGACTTCAAGTAATAAAAGTGGGGCGTGACAACTTGGTATCAGAGCTAGCCGGGTTTGAATACTTTGGGCTCGTGGGAAGTGGTTTTTACCACAGTGGGTTTACTACGTATTGTGAGGACGTTGCATATAGATATCATGGAAGTTAGGACTTATGTGTTGCATTTATGTGAGCATGGGATTCAGTCTCTCGGATAGTATTCATAGCCGGTGAACTTGCTTTGAGGTCCTTTCGGAAACACGCCTGATCAACGTGGTTTCTGATGGGAATTCCTTGAGAGTTCCGGGATGAGTGGCTATCTTTGTAGACTTGATTCGATTATGTGTTTATATGTTTAGATGATTACATGCAATAGAAATGTATGTTTTGAGACTAAGTGTGTCTTGTGACCTTTTGGCGGTAGTGTGTGCCTCGGAGAAGGCTATTGTGTTATGCACTAAGTGTAATTTATTTTGTACTTTATAGGATGTCTACACGAGGAAGTAGAGAACGGTTGAGTAGTAGGAGTGTCGGTAGGGGCACAACAGCTCCTTTAGCACCCGCCGTTGCAGCATCGGCTGTCGGCGAGGACGTCGCACGTGAGATTGTGAGAGCAGTGCAGGACGCCCTAGCTCGCACTGAGGGCGGCAGCAGGCATGCTCTCAAACTTACTAAGGAGTTCTTTCGCTCCAGTCCACCAGAGTTTGTGGGGGAGGCTAAACCATTGGAGGCAGAGAGTTGGCTAGAGCAGATTACCAAGACTCTTGATATGCTCAGAGTCGAAGATGAGGAGTTGAGGGTTTCTTTGGCGACTTTTCAGTTGAAGAGTGATGCGAGTTATTGGTGGAAGTATGCTAAGAATAATGTGGGTAGCACGTGGGTTGCTTTTACCGAGGCCTTTTTGGCCAAGTATTTCCCTCCTTCTGCTCGGGAAAGGTTGAGGGATCAGTTTTTGGAGTTGCGTCAGGATGATACTCCTGTGGCACAGTTTGAGATGCGGTTTGCTAGCTTGTCGAGGTTTGCTCCAGAGTTGGTGGCAACAGAGGAGCGTCGTTGTTTTGAGTTTGAAAGGCGGTTGTGTTTCGATATTCGGGAGAAGGTAGCTGGATCCTTTTGGAAGGATTATTATAATTCAGTCAAGGCAGCGGCCCATGTGGAGGCTATGGTGGTGAGTGATGATGGGGTTAAGGAGGAGACCGTTTCGGTAAGTCCTACGGTTCCTATGCGCTCTAGGCTCAGTAAGGGGTGGAGGCAGAAACATGCTCAGTCAGGGGCTGGTTCCTTTTCTTCGCCAGGGGTTTCGGACTCTTTTGTTGGGAGGTCCGGGGAGGTGCAGGTTTCAGACCAGTCTCAGAGTAGGGGGTCTGGTGGTTGTTTTGTTTATGGTCAGCTAGGCCATGGTAGACGTTTTTGCCCTTTGCGTGTGAATTCTGCAAGTGTTTCAAAACCTAGTCAGACTCAGTCGTACCCGTACTGTCGGGGGCGCTATCGGTACCAGAAACGGGTAGGCCAGGCTTCGGGAGCCTCGCGAGGGGCGACTTATTAAGTAGCCCGATAATATTACCCTGGAGGGGGACTTTTGTGTTGTTGACCGGTAATGTATTATATGGATGATTTAGTTGTTGACCGGTGTACTGTTGGATGCTGAGGCACCATGTTTATGTATTGCTTATGTACGCATAGTGTTGTTTGTTTAATCCTCAGGTATTGGGGAGTATGTATGGGTTTTAAGCTCTCTTTTATATGGAGAAGTTGTTAATGGGGTCAATGATCCTAATGTTGTTGCTTGCTTGGTACTGTATGATGAGTTAGTTGTGTGACGGCCTGTGTGCCTTATTCACTTGAATGATTATTTGTTGAGAACGGGAATCCGTGGGAGAATGTGTTAGATTGTGATGCTTTAGTTGCCACAGGCCTTTTAGAGTTAAGGTCTGTGATTGGAACCACTAGTGCTGTTGGACTGACCCTCAAGTACAATCCCAATTACGATGAACCCACAATGTTGCAATTTTGTGTCAGAAATCATTACCTCGTGCTTCAATTGTATCACTTGGATTCAATTCCACAGTGCTTAAAGGATTTTCTTGGTGACCCAGAAATTTGTTTTGTGGGTAATGGCGGTTTGAGAAGTGGACTTTCTGATCTGAATTCTCATTATGAAATAGAATGCAAGAGCGGTATTGAAGCGAGTGAGTTGACTGCTAAGATTCTTAAGAAGCCTAATCTTTTAGGGGTTGGGTTAGCAAGATTAGCCGATGAGGTTGGAATTCCTTGCGTGGAATCGCCAAGTTTGGGTAGTTTTGATTGGGGTGCTAAGGTTTTCTCCGATGAAAAAATCAAGTATGCTATTCAAGATGTTTATGCATGTTCTCTGATTGGAAGCAAGCTGTTGGGAATGCTTTAAATTTCATCTTCTTCAGGTTTATTTTTGTCTGGGTTGTGTCTTTTGTTGGTCACTTTTGATGTTTTTATGCTTGGGCTCAATTGTTATTTTGTATTACATGCTTATGTGTCTCTTTGGAATTAGGTGGGTGGTATGAGTTGAAACTCCTAAAGCTGATTGTGCTATTGCACTTATGCTGTGTTACATATAAGATAATTATAGTCATGATCAATGTCTCTTTTGGGTACGAATGAAACATGTTGATCATGATTATGTGCACGACTGTTTATTTATACGATCATACTATCTATATTAATTGATATTTAGACATGTTAATTATAGTATGCTACGCTATTGTTATGTGCTTCATAGTTTTTGGAAGAAATGCCAAACTAATTACATTAATGGTTCCAAATGTATACCATTTGGGGTGTTTCGATTCTTCACCATATTCTAAGTGCGCAGACATTTGATTTGCGAACCATTAGTGTCATTGGTTTGTTTGTTTTTTTGTAAAAAATATTCTTGTTTCTTTTGGAACAACATTTAGCAAAGTAACCACTTTAAACATAGATTTCATATTTCAGGGCAACATAATTGCAAATGAGAAACCAAAATGCTTCAGATTAGTTTGCATCTTATGCTCTGATTTTGGTTATAAATTAAAGTGGTGTTGCTTATAATTTGAAGTTTTGGTAAAATGAAAGCAAGCGCTGTCTTGATTATGAGGTTGGGTGGTATTTGATTAAAAGGCAAATGGTGTTTGTTATGAAATACAATGGTGGTTTTGGTTATGATAAATTATTCAATAATCTCTCCGGGCACCACCATGACATGTATATGTGATACTCTAACCAATATGAAGTGGTACGATCTTTTGTACGAAGGAAATCACAGTGAAATTAGGCATAATTTTTTGTAGTCAAACCGTAAGGTGTCATTAATTTCAAAGCTCACCCATGCGTAGGTTAGTTTCTATATATATTAATTAATACTTTGGTAGAAAACAGGCTTTGCAAAAATGAAATAGTATGCTCAATTATGCATTATTATGTACAATTATTAAGAGTTCATAAAATAGTTCACAGCTCATGTGGATCGATGTGCGTGTGCGCATGTGTGTTTGTGTGCGTTCATTACCTGACTATTTTTCAGAGCTCGGACTAGTTGATTTTTGCCCAAAGAACTGGAATAATGTAGCGAATGATCGAACTGAACAAACTAAGAAAATAAATTTAAAGTTGAATCAATTGTGTAGTAGTGAATGACAAAACAAACAAGGAGTGCAATGCCAAGAAAATCATCCAAGCTCGGAGGTATATCATGTACGGAGACCACACGAAGTGAGATCATTATCCAACCTATATTTTGTTTGAAATATAACAAATATTAATTAATATAAAAGAAAGTAACAGCAGGCTAATCAACATGTGGCACCGCAGATGTCCCAACCTGTTAGGAAAGTGAACAAAATGATCAAATACGGAATATCCATAGTCTGACTTAATTTAGTAAACTTGTGTGTATTTCAATATCTGCTTTCTCTGCACAGAAAAAATAAAAAATAAAAATGTTCAAATTAGTTCTTAATATTAAGAAAAATCCGCATAAAAAATACAAATGATATTGAAGGGAATTTAACAAAAATTGATTTACGGTTTAATAACTAAAAGTCAGTATATTCGTTGCCTAGTTTGTAATGAAAATTTCAAATTTTTAACTTTAGTTTAGAAGTTCCATACGATTGACAACCTTACCAAAGATCACCTATTGCATCTTTTATTATGAAGACAATGTCTTCCCAATTAGACGGTATAATCATATGAACTATTTTATAATATGTCAAAATCGATTTATTTTAAAAAAAAATTTCATATATTAAATTGTTTAATTTTTTTAATAAATTTTATTAAATATTTTCGATTCAATTCTGTTGGCTTTTTTGACTTTCGAAGGTTAAAAATGTAATTCGAGTGTGCCAGTAAGGATCAATAAGCCTTTACAGAGATTAGTAAATGCCAATCAATTAGTTAGACGATAGCTTCGGAGTTCTTTTAGCCTCAATGAAGAGAACTTTTATTGGTGGCGTGATTTTTAGGAGAAAATTAAGAAGACTAATTAAAATAAAAGAAAGAGGGAAAAACAGTGTCAGAAATCAAACTTCATTAAGTAAACAAGAGTTTACAATTGTATTTTCGCACTTTCATAGTTTCGAAAGGGATTAGAGCAACAGACTAATTCAGAATTACTCCTAGGAATTTGAAGTGCAGTACAGGAAAGTAAAGACTGGAACTTAAAGGATTGCAAAATATAAAGTAAATAAACTAATTTCTGGATCTGGTTTTGGATCCAATGTACTATCAGCATTCTCTTTTATTTATAAGCTCTGAAGATAACCGTCAAAGTGACTGATAACTGTCGAAGTAGGAGATAACTGTCGAAGTGATCTCCATGATCAGTGGGTATGGCTCTGAACAGTTTGGTTTATACAAAATATACTGCCAACATTACCTCCCGCACTAATATAACCAGAACCTGGTGATATTAGTGTATCGATGCATTATTGCCCACATTTTGAGACGTGTAAGGTAATCAATAGTTCTGGAAGTATAATCGTTTCTAAGCAATGTTTAAAACATTGAACTTCCTTTCATGCTTGCATCTTACCTCCACTATCTGTGCAAGCGAAGGGATTGATACATCTTTGATGGCTAATCAAACTTTTTCTTCATTGACCAAGCATACGAAGAGGTTCTAGACAATGATGGCCAACCTCGAAAGAGCTCTCATGCATTTATTAGTCATATTTACCCTCCTCCATTTATACAAGTTATGGAGGCTTTTGCAGAATTTACACCTTTAGAACCAAAACTTGTTCAAATGGATCTTGCAAACTCTTTATCTGTTCCAAAGTTCTTTACATGGGATGATATTGCCTCTTCTTCTACCAGAACCACTGGCTGGAACACTTGGCCAAAACCAATCCAACCTCAAATAAGAGAGCGAATTCATCAAAGACTCGTTGAATTTGACAACCCTATTTCAGTTCCTCCTTCGCACAGCTTTGTGGTATATCCCTATATTCCATTCGATCGCCTTCGCTGTCTCAAAGACAACTTGCTTGCGGCATGGTATACCTCTACCTTGCCGACCAAAGTAGTGCGGAAGACCCTTTACCCAATTGAAGCATTGGGACTGAGCCCTTTACTCCTGGCCAGGAAAGCAAAACTTTGCTCCTCTGACTAGCTAGAGTGTTAATGAGCCTCAGTTTCCACCTTCCTTTGAAGGGGATCCAACTGCTCCTTCCCTCCCTCCTAATCCTAACTGGATTGAGGAATTAAAACTTACCCTCTTTGAAAGCCAGCATTTCGCTCCCTATCAAGCTTCAGTTCCTCCAACTGCTTATCAGTAGTTTAAAGCCCAAACCCTATTTGTTGCCTTTTCCCACCTGTTTTTCGAAGTCCTTCAAGATGACACCCCTCACAAGAATTTTCTATGCGTTTGTGACATTGTTTCTCGAAGCCACATCCTCAATCTAGTGGCCCAAGTAGAACTTTACACTTTTCTAGATTAGCTCCCCTTGCTGTTTAACTGGCACAAAAATGCCTCAGCCACCAGCGAATCATTGGAGGAGATCTTTTCCGTTCGCATCCAAATCCAATACGAAGTAGAAAATCTTCTTGAAGAGTATGAAGATTTTAAGAACCATGATTCAGAGTATGGAGAAGATGCCAATATATCATGATTCAGAGTATGGAGAAGATGCCAATATGGATGATACGTGTGGGATGGATGACATGGATGAAGTGGAGAAAGCTTTGAAGCAAACAGAATTTGAAATGAGCGCCCAACGGCTTTTCCACCAAATAAGGGCTTACCAATTAGACAAGCCAAATTTAGATAGGATAGAGGAAAGGTTAGAAAAGGAACATGTATTTATTGAATCTTGCTGGACAAAATTCCATGACCTTGTAACCTTCTCCATTCCTTACTTTTACGAGATTGAGAATGTAGCCAAGTAGGCCCTCCCAATGTAAATGTTTTCATTAATAAAATTGGGTTTCTATGTTCCAATTGCATGGTTTATATTTGTCAATATACACAACTTTTGTCCTCCAACTTGTTCACATAATTAATAAATATCAACTTCGAAGTAACACATCTTATTTCGAAGCTTGGTCAAGTGTTACGAAGCATCGTTTCCCAAAAAAATGGATAATCATCTTCCTTCAAAGGGCTCTGCTTACTAGAAAATCCAAGAATGTACTTTCATACTTTTGAAATTAAAGACATGGGTTTCTTTTCTGCTAATTTGCAAGTCTTTTAATCTTTAAAACTTTCATACTAATCTAGCAAATACTGGCCTCACGGTACTCCCTTACTTCGAAGTCAAACCAAGCACTCAAAGGCACACTTTTTTTTCCCCAAACGATAAGAAAATACTCCTTCGAAGGAAATCTTCTTTGGTAGAAAGTCTAGGAACGTACTTTTAAGACCTTCGAATTGTTAAACAAGTCCTAACTTCACTCGGGTTATGGTATAGGCTTCAACATTCTAGCAAAATACTGGCTTCGAAGCCAACTACTCATTTCGAAGCCAAGCTAAACACTTCGAAGTATATTTTTCTTCCCTTATAAGGTAACAAGATACTGCTTTGGAGGAAATTTTCTTTATAGTAGGTCAAAAATGTGTTTTTAGGATCCTTAAAATAAAGGCCTTAATCCCACATAGGTCAAAATAAAAATTCAAATAACTTGGGCCTATTCGACCCGTTAGGTTAAATGGGTAATTTGGACAAGAAGGTATAAAGCCCCAATTTCTCGCGCTCTTACTGTAGACACCCCATTTTTGACCGCCCTTAAGACTTGGGCGCTACTGATGGTTTACTTGGTGGTGAAAGATGTGCAGAGCAAAAGTTTGATTTCTTCAGCAAGAGGAGAGTCAAATCCCAACCTCACACCCCATTTTGGACCAAAGCTATTTTGAATGGTTTTTGGACCTTAAAACCCTCTCATTCAAAAAATTTTTTTGAAATAAAGTTTCTAC